AAAAATATATCTTGTTTTAAGTGATGTATATTTTGCATGGTATTCATGCAAGAGTGACATCGAAAATATCTGGGGAAAGTATGCCGCTTTTTTTCTAAATCACTAAACAAACGTCGAGAAATTTTGCTGCGGAATCCGTATGTTTTGGCTGCTGTTTACCGTGGGTTCAGTATCAAGTACTCCTTACTGATTCTAAAAAAACTACTGCAATTGAACACATTATACATGTTTTTAATCTAAAATCGAAATTTAATGGTATGCAGGCTAATAAAGACTCGTCACCCTCTTCAAAATTCAGTACCATGAGGAAATGGATGAAATTTTAAAAGAAATAGAAAATAATGAGACGAAGTCCAAAAATAGATCATTAATAGATAAAAGCAAATTGTTTGATAATACAAAGCGACTTTTAAATAATGTTGATATTTTGAACTTTTGGAATAACTACCCCGACAAAGATTTATCTGAATTGGCTCAGATTATTTTTGGTGTTCCTGCAACCCAGGTTTCGGAAAAGAGGACGTTTTCCACCCTAAAATTTATTCTTTCGGACCTACGAGGAAATATTGAGGACGATTTGCTAGAAGATATTCTTTTCATAAATCACAACTGATTATTGTAAATCAAATATTTTATCAAAGAATTTCTACAACTATGTATATGTTTTTATACCTATATTTTTTGGACTATTACTGAATGAAAATATGTGCAGTTTTTTTTTTTTGATTTCCGAATCGTTGAACCGAACCGAAACCCCGGTTCAAGGACCAAAAAAACCGGTTTGACGAACCAATCCAAAAGTGTAAAAACGGTTCGAGCCGCTGAACCGAACCGCCCAAATTTTTTATCCGGTTTACTACCCTGCTGAAAATACCATGGATAATGGTTAATCGAATAATAGTCGTTTATCTACTACTAGTCGACACTCGCAATAGGGGCGTTATTATCATCCTGCCGTAGGACCAAAACCTACTGAACTAACATCACAATGTAATTCAGTTTCCCTATCTCTACTGTATATTGCCAGAACCAGGCCTTCAATCAGTCGAGATTTTAATTCGTTGAATGCATTGAAACACTTCTCATCAAAATCAAAATTAGCATTCGTTTCAGCAAGTTTTGCAAAGGTTTGGCTATCTGAGAGAACGATGCTACAAAACGCCGAGTATAAAAAAACAACCCAATAAAAGAATGCAATTGCTTTTGGTTTGTTAGTATTGGAAAATTGCTAATTGCCCTGATGTGAGAGCCATTTGGTCGGAACCCCCGACTGGCTCACTTCGTATCCTAAATAATCTACTTCCTTATATCCAAACTTTGATTTATCTAAGTTGAGCTTTAATCTCCGGACTGAAAGGCGTCCAATGCAAACTTTAATAAAGCCATTGTTCCTCAAATTCACTTCTAGCAACTACAATATCGTCCATATATAATATAATTCTTCTTTCGTCAATTAAATCACGTAATATACTATTGATAAAACGTTTAAATACGGGCATTCTTAGTCGGAACGGCATTCATATTCATATTGACTATTAGGGATCACAAGAGGTATATGGAATCGATTCGAGTACATCTGCACCTGATGGATACAGCCCTTCAGGTCTAATATAGAGAATAGTTTCTTGCTTTCAATAAATTCGATGCAGTCATCAGTAAGAGGTAATGGGTAATTATCTCTAACCGTTACTTTGTTCAAAGCACGGTCATCGACACACATCTTACTCTAAATGCAAAAAAACACGGCCCAGAATAACCGAAGGGGACATACAATTATCGTAAATTATTTTTAATTCAATATCTTCAGTTTTATTTTGAAATGTTATTGTACAATTAATTGTACCATTAATAAATATCAGCTTGTCACCTACATATATAGGTTATCGAAATTCTTCATGGATCTTAATTCCAGCTCTTTTGGGACATACGACGATCTGATGTAACTAACCGGATTACTAGTATCGAACAAGGAACAAATCGAATTAGACACTACTCTTTCAACTAACATAAATTTAATGCTACTTCGCCCTTCCGCATCAGCTGCTACTTTGGGTTGGGACAGGCCCGATGATCATGCCACAACCTCCAACATCGAAAACATCATCCGTCTGGTCGTCGATAATATGGACAATTAGGCTTTATATGCCCATATTTCGAACAATTGCATCACAGCGGTTTTTGGTCTGCTTTCTGTTTCGTCGGTACTACAGGTTTCTGACTCACAGCCCCTGAAGCATTGCCCATCGCAAAGTATTTGTTTTGATATCTGCTTATGATCGCTTTCAGCTCGTCGGCAGTTGTTGCCGAGAGAAACAAGTGGGCATTTGGTATATCGCCGATAACATCGATAACGAGGTCAACCACCTCCTGCTCTGTTACTCTGTCAAGTTACCGCAAAATCAACTTCAGCTACTAGCGCTTTCTTCAGAGCGCAGTTGTTGTTGTTGTTAGAAACACACGCGCTGTTCCCCGCATGATTTCCTCGAAGTCTCTTATGAAATATTGGACCGGGTATGCCACATCATCCCCATTATATTTCGGCAGGGCATGCTCGATGTCACCGAAATCGAGTTTGCGTTGGCATTTCGTTGCAGAGCGGCCCTCCAATTCTTCGATTTGTTTCATTAACTTCAGCGTTTGTAACCTTTCCTCCAACGCCAGCACTTTCTGGTTTAAATCTGCTAGGTTGGACTTTGGTGGCTCATCAACTCTGCGAAGGACAACGGCGGCATCGTCTGGAGCAGTAATGGGACACTCGGCATGGACGGCAGCGGCAGTACTTTTATGGATGGCATCGGCAACAGCGTGAACGGTATAGCCAGCGAGGGCAACGACAACACCAATATGGGCTATTTCCATCAGAAACAGCATGAGCGGCAGAAGTGACAGCATCGGCAGCACCGGTATTAGTATCGGCATTGGTGTTTTCACTTCCGCCCACCACATTGCGCAACAGATTTCGGAGGTGGGCAGTGTTGATGGGGGAAAATCTACCTGAGCACATTGATGAGATCTTAGCGAGTGTTTGCTATTTCGTCAATAAATTCTTTTCCAGATAGCTTATTGCTTCGGCTCCACACCTGAATTTGTAAAACTTTAAAATTGATTATACTTATCTGGATGCAATAAGATTTTGAGCACAAATAAAAACGCGTTCAGTCGCTCGGCTAGTCGTCCGGAAAGAGAGCGGCCATTAATTTATTTTTGACAACTAGGGCAGCCATTAGGAGTACATGGTCGCATTTGACTATAATACTTATACTACGTTTACGCCAACGGTAATTTTTAGTGACATGAAACTTGTCCTTTATTATACTAAAATTTAATGGGCTACAAAACTTCATGATCGAAAATTTTCTAAACATTCTGAATAAAAATTTTAAATATAATAAATTTTTTTTTCATTTTTCCTAACAAACTAATCGTGGTACAAAGCTCAATAACGATATTGGAATTAATATTAGTATGCCACAAAAAATTAGCAAAAGTTTGAAATTGCGATGAAAATGTTTTGAAGTTTGATGCATATTTGTGAACTTTGTGTAATTTTTTAAATATTTATTTCTGTGGTTTCTGTTATAGATGGAACTATATTTTAAATGAAAAATATTAAAAATAAATAAATAAACAGGAGTTGCCAACATCATTTTGAATTTTGCTACCATTATTTTGACCGCTGTTGTGTGTGGTTGCTCAATTTCTTATTATTAGTATTATTCCTTTGCATATAGATGTTTTCAAAAGTTGCAAAATTTCTATAAAGTAAAGCGATTTTAACGGTATTAAAATCAAAAGAAAGGTAATCGATTTACCATTCTTTCGATATTTATTAGCATTTAAAAATCATTTATAGTGGTTTACTAAAATCCAGTTTTCTTACAAAATTTCAAAATTTCATCGCGATTATTTGGCTTACACATAGATGTTTTCAAAAGTTGCAAATATTCAATAAAAAAAGTAAAGTGATTTCATCGGTATTATTGTCAAAAGAAAGGTAATCGATTTATCTTTCTTTTTATATATATTTGCGATTAAAAACCATTTATAGTGGTCCACAAAAACTCACGTTCTCTTACAGCTTTGCAAAATTTGATCGCGTTTTTTCCTTTTTGTGTGTTAAAATAAATATATACAATAGAAATAAATATGAGAAACTATCGAAATAATTTATAATAAATTTGATAATTAAGCTTCAAATATTTGGAAATTAGACTAGTAGTGCTTGTTGTGCTATCTCCACAGATTCCCGGCGCTCTTGGACACTTTCAAATCCGATTGGCAGAATGACTCAACTCCATTTATATATATCATTAGCTGATGAGCTATGACGATTGTATTCGTGGAACTGTTTGTCTTAACATAACAAGTTTCCGCCAAAATTTGAAAAAAACAACAAATTTTTTTAAGTAGACATTTGTAAGCATAGTGGGATGCTTTGTCAGGCTCTTCTTTGCTCTTGTAGTAATTCGCTAGCGCCATTATATCCTCATTTTCATAATCTCCAGATAATCTGCACATAGAAACTGCTGCGACAAGGGAATCTAAAAGAAAAATTAACATGTTCTAATAACTAAAAATACATAGTCCACCTAAAATATAGTCATTGAATCTACTCAGAAAAATCCTCCATGTCAGTCCTTGGAACTAATTAATCTTTCTTCTCCATGCCCTCAGGCATTGGATCCTCCGCTATCTAAGGCCATGTCCACTAGGTCTGTGTCTAAAAATATTGTCGACAATTAAACCGTCGATTAAACAGTGTTGCCATCTACATCTGAAGCTGCACTGTCTAACATAAGTCCTCCGAACAGCTCGGAATCCCGCATATCTGAAATCACTACCAAAAATTTGGTTGTAATTCCACCGAGAAGATCAATCTTTGTCTCTAGATTTGCTAAAGACACTTCTTCTGACGATATAAGGCGTACATATCGACTAAAATTAAAACTAAAGATGTATTTATTCGTAAATGTAATTTTAAATACGATCGCGATATTTCATCTTTTAAAATTGATGTAGCTGCCGAAGATTTTAATTCACTACTAAATAATTCATTTTGGCGACTCATTCATTCAAATCAATTCATTGTCGCGAGTTTGAGTATAAACCTAATAAAAGTAATAACAACTTAGCTAAAATCTCTAGTATTAATTCTGATTCAAAAAACTAACTCGCACGTCAACTTTAAGTATTTGCTATCCAAAACGTTAGAGGTTTGAATACCAAATTAACTGACTTATATTAAATATTATGTTACCAGGCTAGTCTGATCTATGTTTTTAATGCGAATAAAACTACATTATTCCACTTTCTGGCCCAACGTTTCGCTAAAACATTTTTAGCATCTTCAGGGGCAATCCAGCTTTATTAAATCTGCAACAAACCATAAAATACAAAGGCTCATTGTAATCAAAAATTAATGAATATAACATACAAACATACATATACATATATGGAATTAAAAAATATAACAACAATTTGAGGACAAAAAACTCACAATATTAAAGAACTTTATAATTATTTGGGCCAAATTCTTATTTGTTATGTTTGCTGGGTTGGAGCTGCTTCGGCCGATAGAGTTAAAAAAGCGAAAAATTTAAATTTTCCTTTTACCCTCCTACGCGTTTCAACGCTCACGAGTCTTCACGATATTGGAAAAATAAAAACAAATAAACAATAAACATGATTAGCAAGTAAAATTCGTTGATGCAAAAACAATAAACATAGTTGACGACAATTACTTTACAGTAATTCTGACTTTGAACTCACATTTACATAAATATTATTGGCAAAAAAATTTTAATCAAAGATAAACGTTAGCACCATTTTAAGTATCATTTCACAATATTACCAAATTACAATCCTATATTCTTATTTATATTTCCTATTGATTACAGCTGCATACACGTTGTTGATGTTATCCACGTCCTCTTCAAAGTTGATCGCATTGTCTAGTTGTTGTTGTATACGTAGGCTTTCTAATGTCATTCTCCTTTTTACCCCTCTTTCGATGTCCAAAATTCTCGTATTCCCGAAGTCCGCAAATTGTTCGTGCTTCGTCAAGTGTTGTGCAAGTGCTGTTGTCATCTTTTTGTTTCTCTCATCCGCTTTATGTTCGCTAATTCTTGTACCCAATGATCGTTTGGTTGTGCCTACGTAGCATTTGTTACAGCTTTCAGTATCATTCCCCTTACATTCTATTTGATACACCACATTATGTTGTTGTTCCTTCAGAATTCTGTCTTTTGTGTTTGTGTACAGTTTGCTTATTGTGTTGTGCGGTCTGTGAGCATATATAATATTTTCATTCTTTATTGTTCTCCTGAGCGCCTGGTTATTTGTTAGTCCTGGTACGTAAGTTACTCCAATGTACTTTTTATTGTTAGTTGTGTTGTTCGCCTGAATATCTTTATTTTGATTTGTTTGTTTACTTTTGTTAATCGTCGTTTCTATTAAATTGTTAACTAGCGCATGCGGGTAGCCGTTTTTGTGCAGAATGCTTTTAATTTTGTTTTTGTTCTCCTCCGCGAACTCGTTGTTGCTAAGTATGTACACTTTTTTGATCAGGCTAGCAGCGGTGTTTATTTTCTGACTCCATGGGTGATTTTAATGGAAATTAATAAGTCTACCCGACGCGATGGACTTCGCATACCAGTTAAGCATTATTGTATTCTGTTTTCTATGCACCTCTAAGTCTAGGAAGGCAATTTTATTGTTTTTCTCTCTTTCAACCGTAAATTTAATTTTTGTGTTTTGTGCATTCAATACTTTTAGTATATCTTCCGCGTCCTTTGTTTTTATTATTGCAAACACATCATGTACATATTTACTTATGTATTTTATATGTATGTCAGTTTGTGGCAATTCAGTTATGCTGTCGTCTAATATATTGTCAAGTACAATATCCGCTATGGTCGGAGATAATGGGTTACCCATTGGCATACCATATGTTTGTTGGTAAAGGGTGTTATTATATGTAAAATAATTGTTGTCTCGCAAACAAAACTATAGAATATTTTGGAATTGTTTTCGTTCAATGTTTGTGTGATTTTTCAGTGTTTCCATTTTTTGATAATAGCCAGCAGTGTCGAGATGTTTGTAAATAAAGATACGGCATCAAATGATATTAAAATCTCGTCGTCCCCAACTGTCATATTTTTTAGTTTTTCTTTTAGTTGATATGAATTTCTTATGTTATATTCGTCTGATATTAAGTTTTTTAAAATGTTTCCAACATGTTTCGACAGTTTGTAGCAAGGTAAATTCGTGGATAAAGATATTGGTCGAAGAGGTGTGTCTGTTTTATGAATTTTTGGTAGTCCATATAGTCGAGGTGCATTTGCCGCTGTTTTGTTTGATGTCAATTTGTTTCTGCTTGTATAAGTTATTTATTATATTGTTATTTTTCCTCAATAGTTGCTTGGTAGGATCGTTCCTCATAGTTTTATAAGTGTTTTTGTCATTTTGCAGTTCTCGCATTTTGTCTTCATATTCTTTTTTATATAACATAACCGTTTTATTGCCTTTGTCCGCTTGCGTTATTATTATTTCATCCTTATGTCGGTTTATAAATTTTTGGGTGTTCGCATATGTTTGCAATATAAACCTTTCTTTGCTATTGTTTTTAATTTTATCCTGAAATTTGTTTATTTTTGCTGCTATGTTGCCTATTATATAATAAAGTCCGCTTAGTTATCCCAATATACACTTTTTCGCATTCTTCAATTTCATTTCCCTTACATCTAATTTCATACACTACATTGTTTTGTTGTTGGATATCTACTGAGCACTTAGTTTTTATGTGTATAGTCGACAGAGTGTAGTTAGATTTGTAGGCAAGGGCTGTGTTTTGTGATTTTCTTATGCTGTGACCAAAATCGTATTAGACTAGCCAAACATGAAACAGATATAAGGAAACAAAAAAGCTGTACAGCATTATCACAACACATCATAACAAGTGGACATACAGCTGATTTCGCAAACACAAAGATTATTGACAAAGAAAGAAGTGTTAACAACGTAAAATAAAATAAATTTTGCTAGTTTTTAAATAGGACCAATGTATATAAATTGTTACGATTTGTATATTTGGAGCTTTTCGGCCGTTGATTTTAAAGCAAAAACGTTGGTTTTTCTTTTCTGACTCCTACGCGTTTCGACACATTATTGTGTCTTCCTCAGGGAGTCTAT